AAATAAAATAATATTTAATGTTAAACAAGGATTATTATTATTATTATTATTGTTATTAAGTATTAGTAAAATAGTAGTAATCAGTAGTAGTACTGCTAGGAGTATTGATACGCTTGTAGTAACATTTAAAACACATTTTTCTCGTTGTGTCTTTTTGCTTGGTTCCAGGGCATCAGCAGTCTCTTCAGCTCTCTGAAAGTGGTCCGTCTCCTCCGTCTGGGCCGGGTCGCCCGTAAACTGGACCACTACATTGAGTATGGGGCGGCTGTTCTGGTCCTGCTGGTGTGTGTTTTCGGACTAGCTGCTCATTGGTTGGCCTGCATCTGGTAGGTTTGTCTTTAAACCTTTTAACCACCTCCGTAATAAATACTTTCAATATTTATCTCTAAAAACAAATGTTGTAGCAACTACAGAAGAAGAGAACGTAGAAAGTAGAAAATGTATTACGCTGTATGCAGATGATGTTGTACTTCAATGACAGAGACTGTGTTAGCCATCGGGAAAAAGCAACACGTCTGACATCCAGAAAATAGAAACTTTTTTAAAACTCGAAATGATCCTTTTTTTAAAATGTTGTTGATGCCTTTTGTGGTTATAGTCGTTAAAAAATAAAAATAATTTCCAAATGTTTACAATCAGTTTGTTGTTGAATCTCCAGATGTTTAAACCGTGGAAGATAATGTTGCAGCACCTAAACCCGTGCAGCAAGAAAAAAAAAACAAAAAAACACCTCATGTATCATGCGCCGCGCTGTACTTTCACTGGTTTCCATGGTCACACGCTGAGCCGTGTCACGGTGTGGGGAAAAAAAAAAGTTGAACCATCATCAACTCAGTTGACAGCAGAGAATAATAACAATGCAATGTTCATAACAGCAGCAGCAGCAGCAGCCGCCGCTGGTTACACTGGAAATAACAAGAAGAGGCTGCTGAAAAATCAGCCGGATAACAATAAGGCAATCTGAAACCCCGTCGTACAAAAACACTCTTTATCCTGGGATTTTGTTTTTCCTGTGATTTAGTCTCGCACCCTCCGGCGTTTGAAATTATAATCGTGATGGCAAAAACTCCCATTCTCTGCTCAGAAACGCACTGATTGGGGTCAGGAGCAGGTGAACAAACAAACAACTGACGAAGGAAACAGAATTGTTCCCTCTGTAGGTGTGGAACCGAAACTTGTGCTGCATCGTCACATTTACCAAATATAAATCCTGAAATGGAACATTTAATCTCCAAGGTTTTCCTAGATCAACAACAGACAGATTAACTACACACTTTCATTTAAATAAAATATCAAACTGGACTTGGAGGGAGGGGCAGGATCAGCTCTGAGGACCAGATACTATAAAAGTAAAAATAGTTTGTAGAGCATTAAAAAGTACAGCAGAGCTAGTTCTAATGTCCGACATTCACTTTTGCTGATATCCGATATGCCGATATTGTCCAAACACTTAATTTCCGATTCCGATATCAACCGATATATGCAGCAGTTTGTCCCCAAAATTGCGGTAAACGTAGCAGGACCGTACGAGCGATTCCACAATATTTGGTGAAATCTAGACAGTGCGTTATCGGGTTTTCATTACTGGTGAAAAAATTGTAACAATTTTTACCAATATTATGTAATTATGCTAATATCTAATTGTAACAATTTTTACCAATATTATTTAATTATGCTAATATCGGGCCGATAATATAGGTCAGCCAATATTCAGTTTTGTCCATGAGGTGGCAGTATACCAACATGACTGATTTGAATTGTGTTTAAATGTTTTGTTTTCCCGCCGCAGGTACAGCATCGGTGATTACGAAGTGATCGACGAGGAAACCAACATCGTCCGCAGCGACAGCTGGCTGTACCAGCTAGCGGAGACGGTGGGGACGCCGTATCGCTTCAACGCCAGCGGCTCGGGGAAGTGGGAGGGCGGTCCCAACAAGGACTCGGTCTACATCACCTCGCTGTACTTCACCATGACCAGCCTGACCAGCATAGGCTTCGGCAACATCGCGCCCACGACGGACGGAGAGAAGATCTTCGCTGTGGCCATGATGATGATTGGATGTGAGTGGATTCAGCCTCTCTCTCCCTCTCTCTCTGTGTCTCTCTCCCTCTCTCTCTGATGCTGAGAAGTTACTGTAGGTCTGGGCTCTTTAAAACCACACTGCAATGAAGTAAATGGATTATGGATCCACTAGAGTCCACGGACAGCGTGGCTGATGATTGGCTGAGCTTCACTTCAAAGGAAACACTGGATAATGTGCTCAGGAGGAGCAGGACTGCGAAGTGAGGTTTTCGTTGAAGGAAAAGTAACATAGTTTTTAAAAGTAAAAGAACGGCTAATCAGCTAATTACATTGAAATTACTGGGTTTTTTACCCAATTTGAACCAGAAATCTTCTGAAAACAAATCTGGATCTTGTGGTGAAAATCAGACTTTTTTTGGAGGCGATTTCCCGCGGCTCGGCTCGTCTTCATCTCGATGTGAAACTTCAACCCAGGATCTTGTGCTCGTGCGTCTCCCAGTGCAGCGCGGTGTCATTATGTGTGATTGCACGATGGCAGCAACACCTCGGAGCAATAACTGACACCACCACATCAATTTAACTTAGTGCTCCCCTCCGCC